GACACAAGTGTCTTGCAGCGATCTACGGGTATCTTCGCCCATTCTTCATGGGCAAAGGCCTCCAGTTCAGTCACATTCTTAGGCTTGCGCACTGCAACTGCTTTCTTTAAGTCCCACCAGAGGTTCTCAATCGGATTTAAGTCTGGTGACTGCGATGGCCACTCCAAAATGTTCCAGCCTTTCCTCTGCAACCATGCTCTAGTGGACTTGGAGGTATGCTTGGGATCATTGTCCTGTTGAAAGGTCCAACGTCTCCCAAGCCTCAGGTGTGTGACGGACTGCATCACGTTTCCATCCAATATCTCCTGGTACTGAAGAGAATTCATGGTTACCTTGCACACGCTGAAGCTTCCCTGTACCTGCAGAAGCAAAACAGCCCCAAAGCATGATTGACCCTCCACCATGCTTCACAGTAGGCAAGGTGTTCTTTTCATCATAGGCCTTGTTCTTCCTCCTCCAAACATAGCGTTGATCCATGGGCCCAAACAGTTCTAATTTTGTTTCATCAGTCCACAGAACACTATCCCACAACTTTTGTGGTTTGTCCACATGGCTTTTGGCATACTGCAGTCGACTCTTCTTATTCTTTGGAGACAGCAAGGGGGTACGCCTGGGAGTTCTGGCACGGAGGCCTTCATTACGCAGTGTGCGTCTTATTGTCTGGGCTGAAACTTCTGTACCCACATCTGACAAATCTTTTCTCAGTTCCTCAGCAGTCACACGGGGACTTCTCTCCACTCTACGCTTCAGGTAGCGCACAGCAGTCGAAGTCAGCATCTTCTTTCTGCCACGACCAGGTAGCGTTTCAACAGTGCCCTTTGCCTTGAATTTGCGAATGATGCTTCCTAAGGTGTCTCTTGGTATGTTTAACATCTTTGCAATCTTCTTATAGCCATTGCCCTTCCTGTGAAGAGAAATCACCTCTTCTCTTGTCTTCCTGGACCATTCTCTTGCCTTCACCATGTTTGTAACCACACCAGTAAATGTCTAGAAGGAGCTGAGTATCACAGTCATTTTAAAGCTGCCTAATTGGTGCTTATTATGCTTGATTGCTGCTCGGTGACATCCACAGGTGTTTTCAATACCTGATGGAAAGCACCTGTATGAACCTCTGTTCTTCAGAGTGGTAGTCTTTAAGGGGTTGAATAATTGTGGCAATGAAGAAACCACATAAGAACCATTTACTACTGTATTACATAAACAATTGATGTCATTTTAGTTGCATTTGGGTAGTTACAACGTCCTTGTAGGATTTGATTCTGAATACAATTCCAAATGTACACTATAGTCCCTAAACCCCTTTACAGCATTGGGGGTTGAATAATTTTGGACACAACTGTATATCCTCTTCCAAACCCCCCCCACCACACACACACACACACTCTACCCTTACTTCTTTTCCCCCTGTACTAAAGTTTTCAAAGGCAGTTTTTTATGTAAGAGTTTAAGACAATAAATCACTTTTTGATAGAATGACAAGTCTTTTTGCTTTTAACCTGTCCTGTTCTTTATAAGATATGTTTTGTTCACCTTGGCTCAATAACTTGTGATTTTCAGCTACATCCCAGATGCATTGTGTCCACTAAAGACTGGAGGAGGGACCAAAGCCACAGAACAGTAAACAGGACATTATTTCCCACTGAGAGGGGTCAGAAACTGGAAGTAGTCATATCCATTTTAAAATACTAAAGGGGCAAAAGGACTGTCCTAAACAAATACTGTTTTTTCGCCTGTGATTTACAATATTCTCTAACAGTGCATGTACAGTATGTGATAGTCACAAAGTATGCCTCTGATCTGACAAGCTTCCTTCTCTGGAAGATGCAACATTTTGGAGCCCTGCTAAGCACATGAAAAGAAGATCATACGCGCAAACACAGATGTAAATGTGGTTTATGCCAAAAGACCAATGCTTTTGATGTTTTGTTAGCAGGGCTTTTTTGTTTCAGTTATCTTCATAAACCTTTGCTTGAGTCATAATTGTGCAATAACATCGTTATGGAATAGTATTCAACATCTTAACTTGCTTCCTTGCAAGCACAAAAGTGAGAAACATGAAGCACGGATGATGATGCTGCTCATGGAAGCACATCTTTGTAAGCCTGTTTTCTTTGACCTCGTTTGCAAATGCTTCTTAGCTATTCCATGTACAATATCCTATGATACCATTGAATCTTGCAAATAAAAATGAGACATGGATAAGATGTCAGACATATGAGGCTGTTCCATAGTCAATGTTTTTCTGTAAGACTTTCCTTCCAGCATGTAGGGATGGGTTAAAAAGGTAAGAAGTGGTGGCTCGATGATTTGGGAAGTTTGGACCTTGCAACAATTTATGGGATTGCTCCAGTTCCCATGGCCTATAAATAGACACATTTATCAGTGATGAGTGCAGGGCCGTGGATAAGGGGGTACCACTAGTTCTCCTGTAGGGGGCTCAGGCCAGCAGGGGGGCCCAGGCAGCTGGGTGAAACAGACGTGGGCAGGGAGGTTGATCAAACAGTGGAGGGGCGATTATTTAAACTGATCCCTTGTATGGCTCTTTCTGCAGCAGCTGAAAGCTAACTTCTCTCCCTTCCGTTGGCTTTCAGCTGCTGCAGAGAGAGAGCCATACAGGGGATCAGTTCCAGAAATTGCCCCTCCACCACACCTATCACATTCCTTGTGCACCATATGTTTCCCCCTGCTGCCCAGGCCTCCCCCACCCCACAGTGCTGCTGGCTACCCTCCTTTCCTTCCCTCTAGCAGCTGCAGGTACTAGGACAGTAGGATCCTTCTGGATGGAGAGTGGGGGAAGGATCCAGTAAATATGTCACATTTACCTTTCCTGAATAAACACAATGAGTGATCAGTACTGATCACTCACTGTGTTCATTTATAACTGAAGTTAGTTTTTTTGGGGGGTGGGGGGCCTTGTCAGGTTGGCTGTATGGGGCCCCGTGATTTCTAACAGCAGCCCTGTGCGAGTGTTCCAGTAAACATGTGGCCCATCTTGTGTTCTTGGACTCGCTGTTCTACTTTGTTGTGCGGTATTCGATAAAGAATTTATTTTTCTACCCCTGTTCCGGGGTCTCTGCCTAACTAGGGTTCACAACCTCAGAACACTGTAGTAATCTGCAGAACGTTATATTGTGTACTGTAAGTACTCAGCATACAGTAGCTGTATTGTAGCAATCACACAGTATCATGGTGTACATGCAATGGTACCAAAAAGGGATCAAATAATTTGCCAATAGAATACACAAATAGACACCCCCATAAGGGACTTTAATGCAGCAACCATAGTACATATACGCATACAAACTTCTTTAAAAGGGATAAATACTTTATTTCATAAACATCCTTATAACAAATACATGTTTTTTTAAGGAACATTAACTCTGACAATGCTACAAATTACTTCCTTCACAGCATGAAAGGAACTCCCAAAGAAAGGGAGACTACGCCACATATATTTAAAAAAAGACATTGATTCTGACAATACTACACAATGCTTCCTTTACAACATGAAAAAAAAACTCCCAAAAGAAAGGAGACTACCCCGACGCATTTCGATCATTCCATTTTTGATCTTCTTCAGGGGTCATAGACACAGATGGAATTTCTAAATAGACATGCAAGAGTAAATGATAATATGCACATAAATAATAAGTAAATAACATTAAAGTGATTGCCATAATTATACAAAAGGATTGAACAAGCATTAATCAGAGCAATTATAAGTAATATCCAGGATGGGACTACATATTCCAAGACCTCAATGGCATGGACCAACCAGAAGAGCAAGAGTGGTCAGATATACATCCTATGGCTGACAACAGCTGGGGAACACTGAATCATCCTCAATATTCCTCTATAACCATCATAGATTCAAGGACAATTAAATAGGTCCAAATATTTATATCCTGATAAATCTATAGGAACAAGACTAACCATTTGAGAACATGGTAGATAAGCACTGAAGTACATATTGCTATTGTGGTGAAGACATCACACATCTCATAGAACTACAAATCAGAAGCAGTGATTTGATCTAAAATAAAAAATAAAATAAATAAATATATATATATATATATACTGGCAAAACTGCCCATAAAAAGTAACTGTTACAACTATCCATCATGCTTAATAAGATGTAGAGAAATAGAAACATTGCAGATCTCAATGGAAAATAGCTGTGACCAGGTTCATTATCTATAATAAAGAATCAAAACAAAGCCTTGAGAATACTGACAGGACTTCTGTGATAAAAAATGCTTCTCTTCACCAACAAACTTTTAGTGCTCACCAAACCATCAGGACCACATAACAGACTGCCCTCCAAATAGAAAGCCAGACCAACTACAGCAATACGTCCAATATTTATGGATCTCAATTAAAGATGATTGTCTAATCAGAGAGTAATCCAATAAACCTGTGCTGCCAGCAAAGGGATAAGGCAGAATTCCCACCAATAGTGCCAAAAATGGCGTTTCTATGTGGCCACCCCAGCGTCCATGAGGGAGCTTGCCTCCCCCGGCATCCACCGCCAACACTCGTCGCAAATGTGTGACGTCACTGCACTGCACTGCACCGGCACCCGGCACACATCCATGCCAGGACGCATGGTGGCGTCATCTGATGTCCGGGGCAGTCCTTAGACACCACCGGCACAGGAAAGAGCCCCCTACTAGCTTGTGGACGATGAGATCCTCATCCACACACTGCAAAGGGCATATGGATGGCCCAGAGGGAGGACCTCTGCGTGAGGCCAGCCATATCCTGTACTGGATGCTCAAAAAAGAGGGGCCACCCATCGAAATCGAGGCCAGTGTCACCCTGGAGATCATCCATGAGAAGGACAGCGCAAAATACCCGTCGCAAATTTCACTGTACCGCACCGGCCTCCGGGGGCACACACCAATGATCTCCATGATCACGTGATGTGGTAAAAGGCCAATCACGGCAGCCTTTTCCCACTTGATCAGCTGTGTCCAATGACAAAGCAGATCACCAGTAAATGCAGTTGCCGGCGATCGGCTGCGCGCTTTCCTCATGCTGTCACAGCGTGAGGAAAGTACTGCCGATAACTGGCAATTGTCAAAGGACAGATCGACACCGATTATCAGGGCACTGATGATCAGTGCCCTGATGATCAGTGCCCAGCAGTGCCACCCACCAGTGTCGCCCACCTGTGCCCAGCAGTGCCACCCACCTGCCCAGCAGTCCCACCCACCTGTGCCCATCAGTGCCACCCACCTGTGCCCAGCAGTGCTTAGTAGTGCCACCCACCTGTGCCCAGCAGTGCCCCATCAGTGCTGCCCAGCAGTGCCACCCATCAGTGCCCAGCAGTTCCACCAGTCAGTGCCCAGCAATGCCGGCAGTCAGTGCCATCAACCAGTGCCATCCAACAGTGCCCATCAGTGCTGCCCATCAGTGCCACCTATCAGTGCCCATCAGTGCCACCTATCAGTGCCCATCATTGTTGCATATCAGTTCAGCATCATCAGTGCCAGCTCATCAGTGCCAGCTCATCAGTGCTGCCCATCAGTGCTGCCTATCCGTGCCACCGTGCCACCTCATCAGTGCCGCATATCAGTGCCCATCAGTGCTGCCTATCAGTGCCCATCAGTGCTGCCTATCAGTACAGCCTCATCAATGCACATCATTGCCTGTTTGCAAAAAATAGAAACAAAAAAAATCTCTTTTGTTTTTCAAATTTTTTGCTATTTTTTTGTTTATAGCGCAAAAAAAAAAACACCCAGTGGCGATTAAATACCACCAAAAGAAAGCTCTATTTGTGTGGGAAAAAATGATAACAATTTCATATGGGTACAGTGTTGCATGACCGCGCAATTGTCATTCAAAGTGCGACAGCACTGAAAGCTGAAAATTGGCCTGGGAAGGAAGGGGTATAAGTGCCTCGTCGGCAAGTGGTTAAAGTCCCTTATGGGGGTGTCTGTTTGCATATTCTATTGCATTGGGAACAAGCAGCTAGATACTTGACCTTCTGGTTATGACAAATAATTTGCCATGGCCCTTTTAATCCCAGACAGACTTAAAACATATAGTATGTATCTTCATGCAGTGGGACAAACTACCTAGTGCTGGAGCATAACACAATAAAGAGAATTCAGTTTGAAAAACATTAGGCCATTTGCAGGCACTTTTCAGTACTTACCTTTTAACTTGAAATCTATGGTACAACTTGGCATCAGGGTCGTTTTAAATATGTTTTCTTGACACAAGATAGTAAAATATGCATTTTGAACTAGAAATCAGTATATAAAAGATCTACAAGGTGCAGAAATTGGATCTCTAAGAAGAGACTGTAACAAACAGTACAACAGTGGAATTTCCAACAGTGGTTCTTGTATTTCAGCAGTGGCCATTGATGCCTGTCAAAATGTCCTAAGAGTGGCCACTTCCTCAGGAACTGGTTGAAATTGGGTATGGCCAGCTTTATTCTTTTTGCCCTGGAGGAATCTCACATCACCTGCTCACATGGTCATTTCTCTCTATTCACGTTGATGATAGTGGTTAGTCTACTAGCCTATGTTTCCAGGTCCCTACAAGAGAAAACAATTGTTAAGAAAGATGAAATAGTACTTACAGCTAAACTCCAGCCTTCTCTCCAGTCTTGATCAGTTGTACAGCCTTCTCTCCTGTATTGACATTGCTTACTGCTATTTCAACTCATACCTTCAACTTCTTATTAGAAATTGTAACAAATGAGACAGAGTCCATCTCTTTTCTAGCTGAAGGGCATCCAATACCATCTTACCCTTTTTTCTCCCTGGCCCTACTGTCCCTGACCCACCTCTTTCAGGCTTGGAGGCTCAGTATTAAATGTGGGTTTTACCCAGGGCAGCCTGATTGCCAATACAACCTGTCTAGGAATGCAACCTGTCTAGGAACTTCTTCAGACTGATATCCACCCATGAAGACATTTTGATATTTGATTACTCCTCCTAAGAGCCAGTCCACTGCTTGTGTCAGTGCTGATATATCTTGAGAGGAGTATTGGGGCAGAGTGATGTTTTCAGGAAGCTATGTACAACACCCCTCTAGCCCCTCACGCCAGCCATGATGTAACTTCATTGCATAGATAAGCATAAAGTCCCAGTGATGAGTTCACTGGGTATAAAATATATAATGAAATAAGACAGTTTTTTTTTTAATTAGCATGTTGATGGTGAAAAGGAAGAAACAAGGAAGGAAAAAGGGACATAAAAATAAAACTAGATTAAGCTTCAGCTTTAATGTCCCTTAAAATATGCAAAATGTCTTCTGGACGTCTAAGAATTATACACCTCCAAGGCCAGATATACTCTGGAAGTGCTTGAAGCCTTTCCAAACAGCTTTTATGTACCTCAATTGGTTTCTAAAGATAGATTTTTTTTAGATATCCCTCTCACCCCTGAGGAATTAGAGACCTAACTAAGGGATTAGAGAACACCTAATGGGAAAAGACTGGGCACCAATGGCTTGCCCATTGAAAAATATAAATGATTTAAGGAGGAACTTTTCTCCATTCTTCTTACAACCTTTAATAAGGCTTTAGATAAGGGCACCTTGCTGTCCTCTATGCATGTGGCTACAGTCTGGCTTCCGTCCCCTGCACTCCACCGAAACCGCCCTACTTAAACTCACCAACAACCTACTAACCGCTAAAGCTAATGGCCACTATTCTGTACTCCTGCTCCTTGACCTCTCTGCGGCCTTCGACACTGTTGACCACCCTCTCCTCTTTACTAAACTGTACTCCCTTGGCATCAGGGACGCTGCTCTCTCCTGGTTCACCTCCTACCTTTCCCAACGCTCCTTCAGCGTCACCTATAACACTGCCACCTCCCCCTCCCTCCCCCTCTCTGTCGGAGTCCCCCAAGGCTCTGTCCTCGGACCCCTCCTCTTCTCCATCTATACCTCCTCCCTTGGCAAACTAATACACTCCCACGGCTTCAACTACCACCTATATGCCGACGACACACAAATGTACCTCTCCACCCCCCACCTCACCCCCTCACTCTCTACCTGCATCGCCCACCTCCTGAACGACATATCAGACTGGATGTCGCTCCATTTCCTCAAACTTAACCTGTCCAAAACAGAGCTCGTGGTCTTCCTCCCACCCCGCCCCCCCCATGCTCTCCATCACTACTAACAACGCCACCATCACTCCCACCCCACATGCCAAAGTCCTGGGTGTCACCCTGGACTCACACCTCTCCTTCCTACCCCACATCCAATTGCTATCAAGATCATGCAGGCTCCACCTCCGCAACATCTCCAAGATACGTACATTCCTCACCCCAGACACTACTAAACAGCTCGTACACTCCCTCATCATCTCACGCCTGGACTATTGCAACTCCCTTCTCACTGGACTACCCAAACGAACGCTATCCCCACTCCAGTCGATCCTGAACTCAGCGGCGAGACTCATCCACCTCACCAACCGCTCCACATCCGCCACCCCCCTCTGCCAATCCCTTCACTGGCTCCCGATTGCCCAGCGCATCAAATTCAAACTGCTAACCCTGACCTACAAAGCCATTCACAACGCCGCCCCAAACTACATAACCGACCTGATACCCAAATACGACCCTACCAGTGCCCTTCGCTCCGCACAGGACCTCCTACTCTCTAGCTCTCTGGTCTCCTCCTCCCACGCCCGATTGCAGGATTTCTCCAGGACTTCCCCCATCCTCTGAAATTCCCTACCCCAATCCATCAGACTGTCACCTACCCTCATCACCTTCAGGCGCACCCTGAAGACCCACCTCTTCAGTTAAGCCTACCCCACCCTCACCTAACAGCTGACCTCCTCCACTCCTCCCACCACTTCATTCCCCACAGCCATTTCCTCCTGTACCACTTTCCCCTCCCTCCTAGATTGTAAGCTCGAAAGAGCAGGGCCCTCGAACCCCTCGTGTATTATATTGTTTCTGTCTTGTCTCATGTTCTGTCCCCCGTGCTATTGTACAGCACTGAGCAAACCCTTTGGCGCTATATAAATACTGTATAATAATAATAATAATTGTGATCTTGTTGAAAAGAGCACAAACCCTCTTCTGAAAGATGCCTTCAGGCTTATCTCTCTATTAAAGTGGTTGTAAACTTCAAACATAAAATATGAACAAAGCATATCCTATAATAGTGTGCACTTGTCTCAGTCCAGAGACTGATTGTAATTTCTGTCTGCTGCCTTGTTCCTCTTTTATCTGCATGAGCCACTTCTAACATGTTTTCCTGACACCAAGAGGTAATCAGTTGACAGGGGAGCGAGCTCCAGCACACAGGCTGTGATTTTCATACCTTCCCCTCCAGTCCTTCACTCCAGTCAGCTGTCTTCTGACTTAGCTCTGCAGAGTGTAATTTCAGCTTCACTCCCCTGCTTTCTGGAAGTTCAGACAAGCTGTAAAAAAGTCTGGACTTTGAATGGCTGTAGAGAAGCAAGGGCTACAGATAAACAAGTACAACATATGTAGGAGAATTTGTTTCATCTCTGTATATCACCTGTGGCTAGTGACTTCACTGGGTATAATTGACGGTTTACATCCACTTTAAACACACTTTAAAATACTGGCAAAGATTTTAGCTATGAAACTCACACTGAAATTTATAGACCTTAGTTGGAAGACAAAAAAGGAACTAAACTCCATGACCCTACAATATCTACTTTATAAGGGAGGTGTTTCTGCTCCCAATCCATGAAAATATTTCCTTGCCTCTCGGTTGAAGCATCCTGCAGGTTTGGAAACAGTTAACTGCCCATCAGCTTCACAGTATGCTATCGTACTACATTAAGGCTCAAAAGCCTCGGTATCTATTTGAAACCAACCGATACCTCAAAACTTTTGCCAACTGCCTCAAACTCCATTAAATGAGGAAAGTGTGGGAAATTTAGTGTAGGCAAAATCTGAGCTTTGCCATAAATCTTTCTACTAATATCTGCAGCTTAAGCAGGTCTTATAAGCGAAAGACAGATTTTGAACCATAGAGATATTTCCTGTCCCCTGACACTGTGGTTTGAGCATAAAACACTAAGAATCTAATTTTTCATCTCTGTGATCATCTGCTAACCAAACATCTGGTACACTTTCCTCAACAGAGTAAAGCTCACTGGGAAAGTGATATTGGAGATATCCCAAAGGACCAGAGGGAGGAGATCCTGCAGCTGACAGTTACAGAATCCCTGTCACATTCTAACAGATTTACACAACTACCTGTCCTTTGTAGGACCTATCACGCACCCAAGGTTCTATTTCAAATAGGAATTTGAGGCAAATGCAACTGTCGGAAAAGGGTTGAGATAAGGGTGGCCTGTTGCACCTCCCTTTGAGATGCCCCAACTCTTTGGGTACTGGAATGAAGGAAC